AAACAACCAACAAATATATAAGTTAAGTGAACGGAAATACACAGGAGACGTAACAAAGGCAGAAAAAGAGTTACCTTTGGAAAATTAAAAGCGATGCCTATTAAACTTTGAATAATATTTGAATTGGCTGGTATATAGGAGGAAGCAAAACGTATCCCAGATACGTAATCAATAATAGGGAGAATTCATTACTAAAAGAGAAAGGGAGAGATATGAGATCATTTATTGAGAGAGAGTGATATAGGTTGCGAAGGAAGGAGAGCGAACATGAATAGAAAGAGAGAGTATGCGAGAGAGAGAGAGAGAGAGAGAGGAGAGAGAAGCCGAGGGGATAGGGAAGGAACAATATAATTTGTATAGAATCTATAGAAGTGTGGGTATTGTGTGAGGGCATTTATTAGAGGAAGAGAGAGAAAGAGAATGGGAGAGAGAGAGGGAGAGTGGAAGAGAGAGAGAGAGAGAGGTTGAATAATGATAACCATTAACCTTTGAGAATTATTCCAGTTTCCTTTACACTTTTTCCTCTAACAGCACTAAGCTAAAGTGTTCTGACCTCCATATTTCTTTTTACGCCGCATTATCTCCATTTATATACCTCTCTTTAGAAATCTAGCCATCTGATTGGTAGAAATTGCAGTCGTGAATTTAGCCATGCCCTCATACCCGCCTACCATTCAATGGCCTTTTGAAAAGTGCCCTCATACCCACCCATACCGGAAAATAATCTTTTAAAAAAGGCCTCATGCTGCAATTCCCATTGGTTTACGTTTTAAAATTGTTCGAACGCGGACAACATACTGTGCTTTTTGTCTGCGATTCCCAAATGATTGAAACTTTCAGTCATTTTTTCCAGTGAAGATTAGCAGACATTGTCTTAGATTTTCCAAGATGTTTTATAGGCTGTTTTTTAGGCTCTCGGGAACTAGCACATCTGTCAAAACCAAAGACGTTTAAATATAATTACTAGACGGAAAGCAGCACGCGCGGAAACCATGACACGAATAACGGTCATAACAGGATATGCGCGCGTTCCCTTGAGCATATAAAACAACAAGGCCTCTCAAAGCAGTCGATATATTTATGTTATGCATTGACCCTTTTTTCGGTATGGCACTCAAACTTGGTCAAAATATGGATCAAAATATTTCTGAAATGTCTTGCAATTCTATTCGTTTTGGTGCCTTTTATCAATTTTATACATCCTTGTATATACGTCAATGGTCAAATAGATTCAATTTCCTGACTTAGATGACTGTTCTTTGTCATTTAACGATTTTATTTTCCTTTATTCCCATTGGTAAACAATATTGAACTTGCCTCTTAAAAACCTTTTCCAAAAAGTAGGCCTATATTATCACCGAAAGCCCCAGATTTTGCTGTTTTTAAAGGTAAATGTGGGTGGAGGTCAGCTCCTTGATGGGGGTTTAATAGGGGTTTAATATGCTAATATACATTACAAGTTCAGCTGTAAAAGGTCATTAAATTGGTGACAAATTGAAGCAAAATGTTAGATAGATGTTTCCTTACCTCTTTTTTATGAAATGATTGAGAAAACATGGCTTACCCTAGATAAAAATTATATATTTTCATAGCTTTATTGATCAATCTCTACGACTCTTTAAATCGACCAGCTAAGTTCTGAGAAAATATAAACATCTATCAAGAATAATCCACCTTTAAACAATCATTTCATGAAACAGAGGTAAGAAATATTATTCCCATGAGCAACAGTGTAGTATATCCCTATATTCACGCGTTAATGTGACTTTAAAACACGAAGATGACAACGCATGTGCAATAGATATCCAACGTAAAAATGAAATGACTTTTTCTTGTTTAGTTGGAGTTGGATTGCTTGTAAGCAAGCAAAGTATGCCCCTCCCTACTCCATAAAATAAAAAGAAAATGAAGGAACAAAACAATTAGATGAATAATTTAATGATGTGATGAATACATAGATCTAAAAATTGAATAAAGGAAATAAAATACAAAATAATTTAACAAAAATTTAATTTAACGAACATTTTTAATACAAAAATAAATGAATTGATTGAATAAGTATAGATAAATAAATAAACAACGAATCAATAAATGAATAAATAAATAAATAGATAAACAAGTAAACAAAAAAAGGACAAAGAAATTGATAAATGTGTGTTGTAAATATCATTGTTATATTGTATGTTGCAGAAGAATAATATATTCAATTCAATTCAATTCAATTTAAATGAATATTAAAGATCATAATGCAAGTTATGTTTCCTTTTCTTCTCAGTCCATTTAAATTTCGGGAATGTGGAGTAGTACCACTATCGTATCAGAATATATGACACATCTTCTGAGTGACAGTGGGTTACTCTTGAATCACAAACTGCGAACCTTTTCATCTTGGTCATTTAATTAAATGATAATTCGTGACAAATCAAAGACATTATCCTTGACATGTTTAATGTTAAAGCAGTAATTTGATTGACGATATTTCCGATGTGATGGCTGATAGCGTGCGCGTTTGAAAGCTGATCATACTGCTCTCGTCGTTTATTCTCGTGACTATTTTTAGTTCACCGCGAGATTATATAAAAGATAAAACCTGCCAAATATTGACATTTATTGTTTAGCACTGCCGAGTTTAAAACACAATCGTAACCCCTGGCAATTCCTTGTGAGCTCTCATCGTATTCATTAGTGATAGAATGATCAAGATCCTTCCAGAATCTGAAAGGAAAATGCCTGTTTTGTAAGAAGATCTGGAGCGCTAGAACTCTTTGAATTCATATCAGTTTACATGGATGGATCAATAATGATCCGTGGAAAGTTGACAGCTTCTTGGAACGCTGTTTAGTTAACTCAGATTCGGTATAATGTTTAGAGGAAAGTCGTTCTCGAAGGCTTCGATAGCTTCTGAATTCATACTGTTTCTTTGAACTTAAATAACACAAAAAATGGTGAAAGGTGAATGGATTTCTTAAAGGAATGGTCGAGGTTTTTTAGATCAGTATAGAGCATCACAATCTTCACTGCAAGAAGGTGCCCAGTGGCTATTTCTTTTAAATATTTCACTTGGGGATAAAATTATACAACCCCTTTTTTTTTTTTAGTGCTCAATGGTATGCTGAAATAAAGATTGCCTGAACATTCATCCTCTAGCTTTCCTGAGGCACAGTCATGAGAGAGGAAATTGTAATATTATAGCCACTATCAGCGAATTTCGTTGGAACTTTTTGCATCAGTCTTTTGTTGTAAATTAACATTTATTTGAAGTGCTCTCTGATAACGAAAATTATGCGTTATTTAATACTCTTTGGGTTAATATTGCTGTCCATCATCGCCCCGACGACGCTCGCCTCGTTCTCCGAATGGCGCAACTGTACGAGTACCAAGGATATCTGGCCCGACGCCGCTCGTTGGTCCGTCAACGAAACACGATCAGGCCTCAATAGGTCTTCGACGACGACAACGACTACCAAAGTGAAAACCCCTCTGTACATCGCAGGATTTCTTCCGATCACGGACGAGTTCAATGACCAGCTCGTATGTACGGTGCTCATTGCTGTCGAACACGTCAATGAATACCAGGGATTGCTAGATGATTACGAACTTCGTATTGCTTGGGCATGGACAGAGGTAATGTAGTCATTTATTAAATATTTAAAACATATTCGAACAACATAATCATTTCTATATTTCGGATAATCTTTAATACATCTCAGGCCTTTCTTTTCCGCCCCCTATAATTTAATATTTTTGTTTATTGTAGCATTGTACTGTACCTTTTCTCCCCTCACATTTTCACTGTAATTCATGTTTTCTTTTTGTTATTTTTATTGAATGTGAAAAGAATGAAATGTATTCGAATTTAATATTGTTTAATATTTGTTTTCAGGTTGTATGTGGCTTCAGGGTGCCAGAAATAGTAGTTACAGGCAATGTAATTATCGAATACAAGCTGTTGTCATTGAATGCAGAAAAACAAACCGGAGGTAGTCGTGTAAGTGCGGAAAAATCACCGCCCCAAACAAAATGGCCAAATTACGAATGAAATATTTCAAAAGGTGAAATCGACAAAGAATCTCGGATTTATTTATTCATTATTCAAACATATCTATAGAGGATACACAATTCAGTTGAACGCCTGTTTTACATTTTTGCCCTGATGAATATAAGCACATTGGGAAACACATATTTGGGAACATCCCGCTAGCCAGCGATATTTTTTGCTCGGAGGTCGATATCCAACACTAATCGAATTTCTGGCTTACTTCGCTCCATCGGGTTTTCGCGTCTTCGGGTCAAACAAACTTTTGTGAATAATCAAGTCCTTATTGCCGAAGGGTCGGGTCCAGTTTACCGGATAATTTGTGAAAAACCTACATCAAATCTAAACAAAATTACGTCTCTACCCGACACATTTTGATACGAGATAAATGATCACATGATTTCGTTAAAAAAAAGGCGAGTGATCGGTTCTTCGTCATTGTCTGATTGTATATTCAATATTCAAATTCAAATTCAAATTTTGTTGTCTAATGATTCGAAATTTGTTTCGTTTGCATGTCCGTACACGATTACAGATTATAAACATCAATAAGATACAAATGGATACAGAATAGAACATTTGACTTGAACATAGGTAACACAAAATGCGATAGTTCAACATGCAGACTAAAATTCGATTCATAATTCAGACTAAGTAGTTAAATTCAATTCATAATTTGGATTAAATTAAATTCACAATTGAGATTACATTCAATTTATGATTCAGACCAATTCAGTTCATAATTCAGTTTATTTCCAATTCAAATCCCGATCACATTCAATTCATAAAACTGATTAAAATAAAATTAACAATTTAGATCAAATTCAATTAATAATGGGCATGTTTTCACAAATGTACATTGAGAAAGACATCTGAAGGGTCATCTTATGGAATTTCTTGTTTATTTGCTCTCAGTTTACCCGACCTTTCGTGAATATTGGAGCATGTTTTAACGAAAGTGAACCTAACGACCAAATCCGACGCGGAGATCTGATGGATCGAAGTCAGCCCAAATTTCTAGCTTCAATCGTAGACCCATCACTATACCTGATCCCAAACCTAAACCTTTCACAAAAACGACATCGCAACGGTAATCATCACCATTAAAACATACCCTTTAAGTTGACGAAAGAAGCTCGGAGCAACTAAAGCCCACTTTGAGATCGTACCCGGGAGTTGGATCACTTACTTTTGGAAAGAAGAACATCTATGACAGCGATCTATTAGCCATAATTATGAAATTTAAAAAATCCAAAACATTTATTGCTGTATTCGTGATATTGACATGAACTTTTTCGACAATACAATTTCGACAAAGTTTGGCAAACATATATATTTCCGCTTGATCTAGATTTCCTTATCTAATCATTGGTCATGGGCATCTACGACACAACATAACAGGTCAAATAGCATAGCATTTATAATGTCTCTTATACCATTATTCAATTTGCTTTACAATTTTTTTAATACACTGTCGCTCATATAGATGGAATATTTTTGTTTTACCCCAATTTACGGAATTATTTTAAAAATAATTTAAAAATAATAGATCTAGATAATAGTATACATTCTCAGATTTTATTGAATAATAATTTGACGATGTGTGTTTTGCGTGACTGCTAAGGCATGTGTATGCTACTATGCTTATCAAATAGGGGACCTACGCCCTTAAGTCATAAATGACAGTAATGAGGACTAATGCCCCACAAAAGGGCACTAATATAGCACATCGATACGGTTTTGATCCTGGGGCCTCACAGTTACGAGGCCATTGCTTTGTCACTGAACCATGACTGTACGCAGCGGGGGCTAAGGTAGGGGGCAGTTTCCATAAATAAAAAAAAAACAGAGAAAATGTAATAAATTTTTATGTTGGGGACCGGGGTAAAATGCAATAAATCATTGAAAAATTATTGCATTTTCTGTGTTTTTTTTATATTATTTATGGAAACTGCCCCCTATCCTAGCCCCCGCTGCGTACAGTCATGGTTCGGTGACAGAGCAATGGCCTCGTAACTGTGAGGCCCCAGGATCAAAATCATGTCGATGGGCTATATTAGGGCCCTTTTGTGGGGCATTAATCCTCATTACTGTCATTTATGACTTAAGGGCGTAGGTCCCCTATTCGATAATCATAGTAGCATACACATGCCTTAGCAGTCACGCAAAACACACATCGTCAAATTATTATTCAATGAAATCTGAGAATGTATACTATTATCTAGATCTATTATTTTTAAATAATTCCGTAAATTGGGGTAAAACAAAAATATTCCACCTATATGAGCGACAGTGTATATCGATTTTTTTTTATATTGGATTAATACATCATGTATTATCTGTGTACTAATACTTTTATTGGAAGGTATCATTGCTGACAGCTTATTCAGATATGCCGCGGTGAACTACTGAAAACAAATACGTTTGAATGACTGGCAACAGCGTGCCACAAAGATCCTGCGCTGATGACTGAGCTCTATAGCTGTGTCATAAGTATAATAATTTATTGTCCTTTTAAGGAAATTTGCTTTCCACTGGTTACCGAGTATTGCGATACAGATATATAAATGAAATATTACATGGCAGTGATAAACATACACATATGATAAACATACAATAGATGAGGTAATATATATGTAAGCCACGGTATATATGGTGGTTAAAGAGTTAATATCAGATTCCATTTTACAAAATATGAAGCTAAATTATTTAATATCAATGATTATTCCATAGTAAATCTTAAAATGATAATAAATAAATAAATTATTATTATTGTCATTTAGATCATTATTATTATTATTATTATTATTATTATTATTATTATTATTATTATTATTATTATTATTAATATTATTATTATTATCGATTACCATTTTGAGTAGTATAATTATTACCGGCATCGTTTTTATTGATAAGTTTATTGATGACACATAGATTGTAGTTACTGGCTCAAACGGTAATTGATAGTTGGATGCAATATTCATGGCATATATTTGAAATTTATATTATATTACATTTATATTAATACATTGACATGGTAGGTTCATAGTAATCAAACACGTTTTGCCTTGGAATTAAAAAGATGAATAGAGTCGGGGATAAAGGATCTTCGGAAACGTGCACGTTGAGTTCGTGGTGTGCACAGGCGTATTCCAGATCTGTTATAATTGAAATGCTCATTCAGTGGGTGCAAGGGGTCATGCATTATTTGTTTTACTTTAGAGAGGGCATTTTTCTGATACAGATCTTCTATGGATGTTAGATCGGCTCCTGTGATACGTTTTGCTGCCTTTCTAGGACGTTCGAGTAGTTTCTTGGCAACACTTTTAGCGTTTGCATAATAGCAAATTAGGTTGAAGGTTAGGACACTCTGAATTAGGGACTTAAAGAACAGTTCTATCAACTTACTATCTACTCTTAAGTTTTTCATTACCCTAATAAAGTATAGTCTCTGGTTGGCTTTCTTTTGGATGTCTACAATGTTCTTAGTCCAATCAAGTGACTTTGAGATAGTAGTACCTAAATACCTGTACTCTTTAACTTGTTCTACAGGAGAATCATTTATCAAAATCTGAGTATGATCGCAGGGGTTTCGACGAAAATCAATTATGATCTCTTTTGTTTTAGTTACGTTTAGTATTAGGGAATGGTCATTGCACCATTTAACAAACTCATCTATAACCTTAACGTATGGGTCTACATCTTCAGAAAGATAATCTGTGATAACAGTATCATCCGCATAGTTGATGATGCTGCACTCTCCTACATTACATAGACAGTCACTTGTGTAGAGGGAGAAGAGCACAGGGGAGATGACACAGCCCTGGGGCGCCCCTGTATTCACAATTCTTGGACAGGATAAAGCGTTTCCTAAGATCACTCTCTGTGGTCTGTCACTTAAGAAACTCTGTATCCACAGACTTAACTGGGGTGGGAGTTCCATATCAATGAGTTTGTTTATCAGAAGGTGGGGGAAAATAGTGTTGAAAGCACTAGAAAAATCCACGAAAGTGGATCTTACGTAGGTCTTAGCCTTGTCTAAATGGGCATATACCTTATGTAGGTATGTGAATACTGCATCATCAACTCCTCTCTTACATCTGTATGCAAACTGCATGGGGTCAATGTAGGGGAAGTGTATTCAAGAAGGTACTTCATCATGATCTTTTCGAAACATTTCATGACACTACAAGTGAGTGAAATGGGTCGAAGATCATTAAGCTCCTTCACTTTCTTCCCTTTAGGAATTGGTCTTATTAGGGATGTTTTCCAAAGAGTCGGGATGTATCCCCTTTCCAGTGATTGGTTGAAAAGTTCATTAAATACCCCGGTTAACTGATCCCTACAAAGCTTGAGTACTTTGTTACAGATACCGTCAGGCCCCGGGGCTTTATTGGTTTGAAGTGCCCCAAAACATCGCCTAACATCATGTTCAGAGATACAAATTACATTTTCAGATTCACTTAACATTTGCCTTAGTCTTAGTGTAATTACGTCATTTTCAACTTTAAACTTTTTATCATATCTACAATAGAAGTCATTCAGTTCATCTACAAAGTCCTGTGTTATGTCAAATCCCAGAGTCTTGGGCTTTTGTTTATACCCAGTAATCACCTCCATCGTTTTCCAGGCAGCAGCAGGTTTGTTATTTCGAAAATTATTTTCGAGCTTGTTTTTATAAGACATTTTGCAAGAGTCAACTAAGCGTTTAATTTCCCTTTGTACCTCTTTGACACGCGTCTTGTTACCGTTGATGAGTGCACCATTCTTTATCTTCAGCATGTCCCGCAGTTCCTTTGTAACCCATGGCTTATTGTTGGGAAACATTTTAAACATTTTACGGGGTATAATCGTGTCGACACAAAACTTGACATAACTTGTGATAGCATCAGTGGCTTCGTCTAGTGAGCTCGCTGAGTTGAACAATAGATCCCAGTCCGTACAGTCAAAGGCTACTCGGAGTTCCTCCGTGAAGTGCATTTCTAATTAGGACTTAAATCCTTGGTATTACACTTAACATTATCATTAACGTGGTTAAAATTACTTGCCGCGTTATATTATGTGAACGAGGCTTGAAATTAATTTCTCTGAATTACTCGAGGAATCGAATAACCGAACAATTTCATATCCGAACTCAACAGCTTTTCAAGCTTCTCCATTTGAAGATCCGACAGCGTACCATAATACCTCCGCAAGACGCCATCCTCAGAACTATTTGTCGCATGTGGCGCTTTCACAAGTGGCACTTTAGAAGTGGCATCAAATATCTGAACGATTTGCTTAAAATCGTCTGCGTACGTTTCGATTTTGCCGATATAATCGTAATCTAAACATGGTGGGCATACTTTGTATTGTTCTCGCCAGTGCACGTCCGTTTTTCCACTCAGGTAATAGTACACGAATTCTTTGAAAGTGACGTTGTATTTCTCGCTTGGCATCGACCGATCCGGCATCTCTGCGGGAGAGTGGCTCCCGAACGTCATATAGATAATTTTGTTATGCTGGTTACGATGTGTCGGATTCCGATTGGGGTAGGTCTCCAGTCTGTCACGGAAAGCGGACAGAAGACGGGAATACGGATTGCGCACGAAGATCACCGACGTGTAATTCCGTATTATATCAAGCCTCTTGCCAGAGCTATACTGGCCTAGCACGCTGAGATGCTTCTTGGCTGCCTTTGATATCTCTTTCGGCGGCATTTCATTCGTCGAGTTAATCGCGCCCTCTAGTGTCATGAGAGTTTTCACCCAGTTGTTGCTGCTTGCTTTCGGAATGAGACAGAGGAGGGTTCGGTATCTTTCGGAGACGTATATATTCCGAAGGTAGCTCGGATTTGTAAGTACTGTGTCCAGCTTGTAGGTTTCATTGTCACAGAAGCCGAGGGAGGAGCAAGCATGACGTTGGTTGTGTCGACGCAAAGCCTGTATTAGTCCACAAGAATGGTATCGATGTTGTTGACGACATGGAAAAGAAACATGAAAAAGGAACACATTAACATTGGTAAAGCTTTATGGAAGGGGAATGGAGAGCGGGAGAGTGAGAGTGAGTGAGAGAAAGAAAGAAAGAGATCGAAAGAGAGGGGGAGTGGACAGAGAGAGAGAGAGAGAGAGAGAGAGAGGGAGAGAGAGTCAGAAAGAGAGATGGTAGGGAGAGAGAGAGAGTATGTGTGTGTGGGTGGGTATAAGTGTGCGTGTGTATACGCTGTAAGTGTGCTTGAGAAAGAGAAGGAGAGATAATCAATGAATGACGAGGAAGGAATTCCAGACTTTGAGAGAGAGAGAGAGCCATAGACTAGGTACAATGTGTATGATCGAATCTCTTTGGTATAAACCCTCTTTCAGATTGTTGGTGTCAGTCTAAATGGTGTAGATTTAGCTTCAAATCGCCCTAGATTCACAAAATAGAACATAATATGAGAGCCGTGGTGTTTATTACGAGAAGAACTATCAGACTGGAAAATGACGACCGTATGATAAATACTTCACGCATACTTCACCCCCAAATAAAAACCCATCTTGTCATCTCATTTTCATTATTATTCTCGTGGACTGTAGCCCCCTAGCCCCCTGCCCCATTTGCCCCGGCCTGACCTATGTTTGGGTGGGCCTTTTCATACTTCTGAGCATTGGTGTACCTGCGTTGCCGGACAGTTCTGCAGAAAGTGAACGTTGGACAGCTGTGATAGTGCAATTCCTGTTAGTAAAGTCCCATCTGTACATGGTCAATGAAAATGAAGACGCGTTCTTTAAAAAACTTTTTTTTTAATTTTTTTTTTTACATCTAGCCAACATGAGAGCACTCGAAGAATCCCTAAATAATATAAAGACTCCAATTATTATTTTGGTCTATGAGCTACACCAAAAATCTCTAGTGTTTATTTCATGAGTAAAAATGGTGGGGACATGCAAGGCAACATATCCACATGTGTTATACTCATTCTCCCAATAATCCCATTACTTTGGAAGAAAGTTTAATCCTTCATTCAGCTGTTCAAAGTATTTTGATCATTGATTAGTATATGTTTATTTAGGTGACGGAGGATTATCTTAATTAAATTGTTTGTTATTATTATATAGATATATGATGAAATAGGAAACAAAATAAAACTAATCTAAACGATGTAGCCAAGCTGTAAAACTGTATAATAAAAACAAGAGTATGGAGATGTGATATTAGGGACTTTTAGATTTACACGACGAGAACGTGGACCGCCACGTGTGACATCCTTTTAAGGTAATATGACGTCATTTTAAGGCACTGCCGGGCACGGCCCAGAGCCTTAACACAATGTCACACGCGGCACTCCACGCGCTTGTCGTGTAAATCTAAAAGTCCCTATCATAAGATTTAGTATCAGAGAAGGCAAAACGATTGTTCTTGCAGGAGAACGAACATTAGCGATAATATACATGTTGAATATGTAGTAGGGGCTTCTATTTAGGTCGTGTCTTATGAACAGTTGCGATTAATCGTATTTGCGATTGATATCAATAGCAACTAGGTACATACGACATGGGAGACTGCAAACTTGCGATTGATTGGCGGACTTGCGATTGATTAGAATAGATCGCAACTCTTTATATAGACGGGCCTGATCTACCCCAGTCGTACTACTGAGACCGACAGGATATTACATTATCCCTTAATAATAATGATAATAATAATAATAAAAACGTTACTTATAAAGCGCTTACCACCAAAGTCTCTAAGCGCTATAAAAAAATAATGCATATAACAAGACAGAACATTTCCAGTAGGTTCCAGGTATAAACTTCCTCCACTGGTGTAAATATCAAACCACGAAGATCACAAAAAGACACAAAATTTCACAGAAAACAAGAGAGCACATAAGAGTGGTCGCTTGTAAGGCGCTCCTCCTCACTTCACTTAAGGTCAAGGATAGGTAGGTGTTGAGTCGGTCTAGCGATGTGACCTAGGTATACACCAGCCCCTCTTCAAATAAAATCAACATTTTTATTAGAAATTAAAAATCAACATAGTATCTACCTTTTTCATGTTTTTCCTTTCCCGAAAACTTGGTAAGAATGACAAAGGAAGTGGAAACAATCGTCGCTACACCGAAGATCAGATACGTCCTTCTTCGCAGCATTGTACCGAAATGTCAACTAATAGAAAGGGAGAGAGAGAGAGAGAGAGAGAGAGAGAGAGAGGGGGGGGGGTGGATGAAACACATGAAAATCCTAATTCAATTCTTTCAATTCATTTCAAAAATGGTTTTTATAACAGCAAAAACATGGTTCATACAAATACAATTTTACATGAAAGACAGTCATGGCTGGAATATTCATGTTTACATGTTGGGCACTAACACTGTTAAAGATATACATGTACATGTAAAAGACTAGAAATATAAGAAATGGGACTTAGATTCAGCATTATTGTTCGTAGCCTAAAATACGTCTATGTGCTCTAGATCTGTAGTGTCCTTAGGCACGACAATGTATTTCATTTGGCACTCTTTTACCCAGGTGTTAAATGAGTACCGGTAGGAAGGTATTCCTTGAATGCTGTGAGCACCGAAATCGGTAGGCATTCTGTAACCGTTGTGTGGGTGCTATAAAATGTATCCATCGTTATTCTTCTTCTTCTTCGTCCTCTTCTTCTCCTTGTCATTATTGTCATCATTAATATTATTATTATCATCATTATGATTATTATCATTATCGTCATCATTATGATTATTGTTATTACAATTATAATCATCATCATTTACATCATTGTTTTAATTTTCGTTATCATCACTTTTCTTGCTATTATTAACATGACTTTACACATAACGAATTGGGAGGGGACGGGAGGGGGGGGGGGGTGATCAAGAGTACATTGGCTAAAATGCCAGCCCTCTGAGCGTTAATGGTAGGCCTAAGGTTATGCATTCTCATAAATTCTCATAAAACTATGACAGACATTTACTTCAATCGAAGGCTTGCTATTGGCCACCATTAAATCAGCTTAGAGTGTCATATTTTGAGGGCTGCAAAAACATTTTTTTTTTTTTGGTGTAACCTAACATGCTGGATACTCTAAACGGTTTCCTCGTTAAGTGTTAGAGTGTTGAAGCAAATGATCGTTTATTATTTAGGTCATTCAGTTTAAAATAAACTGCTTTACAATGACGCTCTGCTGCATAATATAGGCTTAATTTAAGGGGTCATGAAAAGTACAACAACTATGGAGACAATAAAGGATATGAATATAAAAAATATGACTAAAAATACACTTATAACCGAAAGGCACAACAACATAAAATAAAGTAGTGTCTTACCTGGAAAATATTGAAAACTTCTCAATCACTTCTATTCCGTTGGCCCATTACAACCTCGTAATAACAGATCACAATACACGACTGATTAGTCTTATGTGCATACCGTGGTCTATCAAGCGATATTGCACGCGAGCAATAATTGATGCTAATCAAAATATGACACCCTTCTCAATTACACCACTAAGCGATACCGACATGATGTATTTAAAGGTATAGATACGTAGCATTGGTCGCAGTATATACTTGTTACTACTCGTGTCACTGAGTGGCGTTTCAAAAAATATTTCGTTTGCAGTTTTTAATTTGGTATATTATATTAGTGACATAATGTGTTTTTCCCAAACATTATTTTGATAGCACAGAAATAAACATGCATTGAGGGAGAAAACAAATAATTGAGATTTCGAGAGGTAAAGATAAGGGGAGATATAGATACAGAGGGGGGGGGGGGGGGGGGGGGGGGTTACGGAGAGAGGGGGAAAGGGAGACCAGGGCAAGTAGTAGTATTTGATAAAAGATCTAGGTTGTTCGCTTGAACATTAAACACAAATACCAGAGGTCATTGTTTAGGAATAACAACATTGCCCACTTTGCAATTTGCCTAATGATTCACTTTGTAAAGTGATCGTAATTCATTTTCCATCAGCGCTGCTTGCTTCGTGTAACCCCTTAGGAAAATTCTAACTCCATCAGCTGTTCAAAGAATGTTATATTACAAACCATCACTCATTAGTCTTGTTTAGACGGAGAAAAGTTACCCCAGGGTAAAGGTCGAGGTAAATATGGCGGGCCAAGCATGCCACTATCCGTACAACTATACAACTATACGTTCGAGTCCCGCCGCCGCACTAATGTCTTTTGTCAAGACATTGATCTACATTTGCCACACTCCACCCAGGTGAAACAAATGGGTACATGGTAGGAATGTATGCCTTGAAATGCTTGAGCGCCGTATGGCACCCGTGCTAAAGCCAGGGTAATAATCGGGAGCGCCAGGAGGGTCAAATCTGACTGACATGAGCGCTATACAAGAACCCACTATTATTATCAGGTGGGCTGTATCTATACAGACCACCTTATAATTTTGTTAAAATTGCCTTTATTATTATTTATTTATTTTATTTCTAACCACTTTTTTGTTAACAAGATAACTTGAAAATGGCTAAATCAAGAAACTTAAAATTTGGCACACATATGTATAGGCATATGGAGAAAACACGGTAAGGTTTTAAACCTTGACCTTGACTGATGACGTCATCTAGGCGCCATTTTGTGAAATTTTCTGAAAATTTACTCATGATCATATTTTCATAACGGTAAATCATTTCTCATTCATATTTATCATGATCAAGGTCAATATCAGTCCGGTCAAATTCATGTCAAAAAACGCGCGCGTGCGCGTACGTCCGCGCGTCAGTGCGCGCGCAAAATTTTTAAATGCTCAAAATCGTCTCAAATTTATTTTGCATACGTTTCAGGTCATTTTAAGCATTTTATAAAAAATCGCGCGTACGAGCATGCGCGCCCGTATTCGCGCGTAACACCATTACAAAACATAGAATCGCCATTTTTTTTTCTTTCATGATATTTCTCATATTTTTTCAAGGAACTTGATACCATGTTTATCTCTTTATGACCATTATTAACAAGATGAGCGTAAATTCAAGATAAATGTCAGTGCGCGCGAGCTCTTTTAATACATAGCATATATGGGCAAAAACATGCCTATACAAAATCCGTTATAGCTCTTTGGAATGAACCGGGATCCTCAATTTTTTTTCATATTTAGATAGAGTATGAGACGGAAATATGATTCCATGTCTCATTTGGCTATTAAGTGTATCGTGACATCATCACAATGGCCTTGGAACTCAAAATACGAATTTGCATATTATGACGTCAGCATATTTATGTAAAATTGATTGTATCTCTGTAAATATTGATCAATTTTCTTCAAAATTTCGATATGTTGTAGCTAAGACAATTTTCTACAAGCGCAGTAATAACCATTTTTCATTTTGATGACGTCATCATAGTGAAAATTTTGATTAAAGGCCTCATGTCAAAAACTTCATAATTTGCGTGTTATGCCTATTGAAGGTGAATTTAGTTCACGTTATGAATCTACATGATATTGTTTTTAAGAATTTGTAAGCAGTATGTCGCTTATTTTTGCTCTATTTTGTCTCAAATTTTAGTTGACCAGCCCACCTATACTTGTTCCAAACAAGTATTATATGTCTAGTTATTATTATTATTATCCAGCAGACCAATCAGAACGCAGGAAACTGTACATCTATACAACTATATCAGTGGCGGATTCAGAGGGGCATAGGGGGCACGTGCCCCCCGGTAAAAGAATGGGGGAAAGGGGAAAGGGGAAAAAGAAAAAGGGCGAAAAGGAGAAAAAGGAGGGGGAAAAGAATGAAAAGGAAAGAGAGAAAAAAGAAGAAAAGAGGGAGGAGAGAAAAAGAAAGAGGAGAAAAAGGAGGGGATAGGAAGAAA